GACTATAATCTATAGTCATCATCAGAGTACAACCCTTAAAAAATTATGTTGCAACGACGAAGTAATATCGACTATTTAATGTTTCAATTTCCACTTTGTTCCCATTCTGTAATATACGTAGTACTTAATAAAGTTTTTATCTTTTCTACTTCACTTTTGAATGTAGCATTCAGCCAAACGTGTATTGAATTTATTTTTTTCAATAGGTTATGGGCCCAGACCCATCACAACTGCGCTTTGCATTTCAATCTTAAAGTAAAAGTTCATTGTTCGTGCGTGAAATAAAGAGTAAAATAAGTTTTTGAATTTCGAAAAGAAATTGCGTAAAAAAATTGCAGAAATGGCAGGAGTCGTGCGTATCGAGCTTCTAAATGTAGAAAATTACAACACTTGGAAGCTACATATGCGTGCAGTTTTAATTAAACATGATCTATGGGCCTACGTAAACGGAAGTAAACAGTGTCCAGCTGAGGCTGCATCTGCAGCTCTGTGGAGGACAAATGATGAAAAAGCATGTGGCGATATCATGCTAGCAGTCAGTGCACCAGAGTTAAATCTCATTGCTGAGTGTACATTTTCGCAGAAAATGTGGCAGAAACTGAAAGCGACGTACGAGTCGAAAGGCCCCGCTCGAAAAGCGACATTGTTTAAAAAGAGTTGCGCTCTCACGAATGAAAGAGGGTGATTTAGTAAGAAATCATCTTAATGATTTTTTTGATGCTGTTGCAAAACTGAAGGCATTGGTGTTGAAATCGGAGACGAATTGCTAGCAATTTTATTACTGTACAGTTTACCAGACAAATTTGAAACATTCCGTTGTGCACTTGAAACACGTGATGATTCACCAAAGCCAGAAGTGCTTCGTGTAAAAATACTAGAAGAGTGGGAATCAAGGAAAGCAAAAAACAGAGCTGACAGCGATACTTTATATGTAAAAAATACACCAAAGACAAGTATGTGTAACAAAAACAGAAACAACAATGATCGATACACAAAACGCACAGAAACGAAAAGAAATTTTTGCTGTCACAAATGTGGCGGTCACTATGCAAAAGAGTGCCGTTCGAAAAATGACTGCAATCAAAGAGCTAATAAAAGCGAAGTAAAAAATTCCTCTTTAAGAGCAACAGAATCATTTTTTTGGAAATGGAAATGATAACTGGTGTTTGGGCAGTGCACTTCCCACATGAGCTCCGACAAGAATAATTTTGTTGATATGGTAGAATTAAATCAAGTGTTGAATTTAGCCAACAACGATTCTACGAATATTACTGGCACAGGTGACATAGAAGTAAAAGTAAACGAAAAAGGTTATAAAAGGAATATAACATTAAGAAATGTGCTCTATGTATCGGATTTGCGTACAAACTTGTTGTCGGTATCAAAAATAACAGACAGAGGATTTGAAGTACATATTCGTAAAAATGATGCAAGTATTATTGATAAAAATGAAGAAGTATTGTTCACTGCAGAATGAAATGGTAATTTATATTTTATGAAAAACCATACAATTATTATTACAGTGCATTTATATCTGAAGATAAAAGTGCAATAAGACTATGGCACTGTAGAATGGGCCATCTGAACGAACGTGATTTAAAGCAAATGGCAAAAAACGGCGATGTAACGGACTGAAAATAAATTCAAAAGATAAATTACTAGATTGTGAAATATGTGTAAGTGAAAAACTAACACGCACAATTTATTCGAAAAGTATCGGTATTCGTACAGAAGATTTATTAGAAATCGTGCATAGCGACATATGCGGTCCGATGCGGTGTACCTCAAATGGCGGTAAAAACTATTTTGTAATATTTATTGACGATAAATCGCGTTGATGTGAAATTTACTTTATTAAACTAAAATCAGATGTATTCAAAGCATTTAAAAAATTTAAAAACGCGGCAGAGCCATTCACTGGTAAGAAAGTAAAAACGCTGAAAACTGATAACGGATTCGAATATTGAATAAAGCGATAAAGCGACGCTTAACAGCACCGTATACTCCACAGCAGAACGGAGTAGCCGAACGTAAGAATAGAACACTTGTAGAGATGGCGAGGTGACTAATGAAGCAAGCTGGTATTCCTCTTTCATTCTGGGCTGAAGCAATAAATACCTCATGTTACATTCGAAATCGGTGTATTACAAAATCTACAGGAGAAGTGCCTCATAAGTCGTGGACTAGAAAAACTCTAACTGTGACTCACATGAAGGTGTTTGGTTCAAAAGCATATGTGTTAAACAAGAAGAAATCAATGGGTAAATTCGAATCTCGATCGGAACAATGTGTATTTATCGGATATTCATCCGAATCTAAAGCTTACCGCTTATGGTCCAAAGACAAAAAAGATATAATAATTAGTCAAGATGTGAGATTTATAGATGAACCTGGATTTAAAAACGAATACGAAGAAATATTCAAATCGCAGAGTCATACTATTAACATTGAAACAAAACCAAACGTTGCCCCATCGAGTGAAGCTGAAACAAGTGACAGTGAAATGTGTGAAACGACAACGAAACGTGGTACGGGTCGTCCAAAGAAGTTAAAAGCGGGTTTGCGAGGAAGGCCGAAAAAAATTTATCAACTACCTAGAGATGTTGGGTTTATAGACAACAATCCTGACACTGAGTACGAAGACGACAATTTTGAAATAAGTGAATTGGCGTGCATTAGCATAGATGAAACTCCGCCAAATTGGTCCACAGCGAATACCAGACGCGATGAAATAGAATGGGCAAAGGCTATTGAAGATGAATATTTAGCATGAATCTCAAACGAAACTTGGGAAATCGTGGAGAAAGAAACCCAGTGAACATAAAACAGTCGGAAGTCGTTTGGTACTACGAACTAAAGAAAATGGTGAGAAAAAAGCACGCCTCGTAACTAAAGGCTACGCTCAACGACAAGAGGAGGATTGCCATGATACTTACTCGCCAGTGGCACGCTATACATCAATCCGCTTGCTTGCAGCATTGGCAGCTGAAATGGACTTGGAGATTCACCAAATGGACGTGGTCACTGCTTATTTTAACGGAGAGCTTGAAGAAGTAATATACATGGAAGTACCAGAAATGCTAAATAAAGTTTTAAATAAAATAAAATCAGGTAAACCAACAGGTTATCAGGGTGTAACAAAGCATAGTAAAAATGTCGAAGAAACAACTGATAAATGGTTTAAAGCATTGCAAAAGAAGAACCCTGTATACTTGCTGAAAAAGGCGTTATATGGACTGCGACATTCGGGTCTAATGTGGTACAATCGTTTAACAACTAAATTGAAACAACTTGGTTTAAAAGCTTCAATGCAAGATCCATGTCTTTTTATCAAACAAAAAGGTAAACAATTATTAATAATTATCATATATGTAGTTGCTCTATTACTAGCATCAAACAACAGCATGTGGCTGAAAAGCACAAAACATGTATTAAGCGAATCTTTCGAGATGAAAGATATCGGTCCAGTAAAACGTTGTGTGGGAATTGACTTCCAGCAAAACTTGGGGTCACATCAAATTATTTTGACAAAACTAGACTATATTCAAAAATTATTAGAACGTTTCAATATGGCTGAATGTAAACCAGCAAAAACTCACATATAGACAAACTTCAAAACTGAAAAACCAAATGACATTGATGAAGAAGTCATGGCAAGGTACGCCTATCAAAAGCTAATAGAAGACCTTTTGTACCTAGCAGTTACAACAAGACCAGACATAGCATTTGCTGTAAACTACATGAGCCAGTTTAATACAAACTACAATGAGGAGCACTGGAGAGCTGCAAAGCGAATTTGACGGTATTTAAATGGTACCAAAAAAAATTGACTTCTCTACACACAAAATAATAAAACACTTTATGGTGTAGCCGATGCAGATTGGGGTGCGAATTTAATCGATAGGCGATCGTATAGCGGATACGCGTTCGTATTGGTTGGCGCAGCAATAAGCTGAGAGGCGCGCAAACAGCGTACAGTGGCATTTTCTAGTACCGAGGCTGAATACATGGCTATGGCAGAAGCAACGAAAGAAGCAATATGTCTACAAGGTATTTTGAAAGACTTAGGCATATCATGTAAAAATGTGAATTTATTCCATGACAGCCAAAGTGCGCAAAAACTCATTCAGTGCTTAGGGTACAGAATGCTGCCAAAGCGGAAAAATTGAGTTTACGTACATGCCGACTGAAGACATGCCAGCAGATGTCCTCACGAAAGAATTAAACAGTGTTAAGCACTTTAAATGCGTAAAAGCATTGGATATGGCAGATAGTCTTTCTACTTCGCGGGGAGGTGTTGGAACGACGAAGTAATATCGACTATTTAATGTTTCAATTTCCACTTTGTTCCCATTCTGTAGTATACGTACTTAATAAGGTTCTTACTTTTTCTACTTCACTTTTGAATGTAGCATTCAGACAAAACGTGTGTTGAATTTATTTTTTCCAATAAATTTTTATAATAAATTTTTGGTCATTAAAACTATAAATTATCAAGGTAAACAATTATGTTGAGCGAACGCGGATAGGTAAAATCGTTCACTCCCTTCGGGAAACGAACACTTACCGGAACATTAAAAATGTCAGACGTCATGTCAGACACAGTACCCTAGAATTTTAGAGTTCATGAACACAAACTTTTTGTTTGATGTGTTTCGGACTGTATTTAGTATACTATTCGTGTAGTGTTTTTTAACAAAAATTTGAAACGGTTTACGATATTTGGTACTTTATAGTACCTTCACACTGTCTTATTTATGCACTTGCTCAATTATATTAATGCTGACAAATTTTTAGTACATTACCGTTTAGTGGTTTTTGTTATAAGTAAATGTTACGAAAAGCTGTTTTTTAGAGCTGCTAAAATGAGAATTATGGCTAACATTAAATCAATGACCTCATGAAAAATTTTTATAGCATATTTGCGAAAATATTATTTTTCATGTCGTAAAAGCTTATATTATAATTAATTAATTAAATTTATAGATTTTAATACTTACGGTCTTCGACACACATCAGTCTATCTTCCATCAGTTTAAGCCCTGTTGGGCAGGCGCAAGAGATGCGTGGACTTCGTTCGTTAATACGTGGCGCTGGCAAACATAAATGTGAACAGTGTCCGTTAACAGATTGACAGTGATTAATACCGTCAGGTTGTCGATAAGGATGATATATATGTATTACCATAGGATAATTTAACTATTGCAGTAAAGAACAATAAAAAGTTTTTTTTTGAAATCTATTCGTTAAAGTAAATGAATTTAAAAAATTATTTATACTTATATTACTAAATATAATTTTTTAAATAAAGTATATTTCATGATTATGATATTACAGTAATTAAAGGTAACTTGTATTGTGTTACGAAATTGCTCATTGCGATATTAATAATATAAGTATTTATAAGGCAAAGTATGCTTGGAATTAGGGAATTATAGAATTTTTTGGATATCTTAAGTTTTTACGTTAATGCTGTTATTTTGAAGTAAAACAATTATCATGTTTTATCATATTATTGTCAAATATTTTTTTTTAAGTAAATGCTGACAGACATACAGGTGTTATACAAGTTACAGATATACAAGTTAATATATTATTTATTTAATCCATATGCAATATAAATTTATTATTTTACTGTTACTAATAACAGCTGATTTAATATCAAATGATTGTTCAGATCTTTATAGGTTTTTTACTTTATAATTACTCAAAGTTTGTTATGATATAAAACAAGTAACAATTATAACTTATTATCACTATACCTATTACTTTTCCATTGACATTATTTTGTAATACTGTGATCAAAAAAGAAGAATTAAATTGGGATTTAAGTAAACGGGCTTTTTGATGCTCGTAACGTTTTGTGTAGGTTGGTAGTATTCTCGCAGACTAAAAAATTTCATAACAATATCTGCATTTTTCTAATAGTTGCGTACGCGTTATCTAAACAACAAAAAGTTATTTGATTATTTTTTATGTGCAATTTTGTTGAGCCACTTCAGTTCAAAGTAATAGTTTGAAAATGATCTCCACTCTCACCCAGAGTTTAGCTCAGTTGATGTCAGTCATGCAAACTATTCTTGATGAGATAGTTAAAATGCCAATAATTTGTACATGGAATGCAAACGGCTTAAGCCAACATAAACTTGAACTCACAATGTTCATGTCACGAGAAAGTGTGGATGTAATGCTTCGCTCAGAAACACATCTAACAAACAAAAATTTCTTTTCTGATCCTAGTCATTTATTCTAAAAAACAAATTTCTCTGATGGGAAAGCATATGATGTTTCGGTACGAAGACGTCTAAAACGCAATTTTTTAGATACATATGCTCATAACTATATGCAAGCTACATCAATATGCCTTAATCATGAAGGAAAATATTCACCTTTGTTGGCAATTCACTGCCTCCCTCGTTTCAACATTACTGAGACCCAATTTACGGATTACTTCTTAACTTTAGGTTACAGATTTCTTGCAGCAGGAGACTACAACGCCAAGGACACGTATTGTGATTTACGGATCTGTAATCCAAATGGTAAACAGTTTTGCAATTTTATTTTAAATAGATAAAATACACTTGCCGTAATCTCTTCTGGGCAGCCAACATATTGACCTGCCAATAACAATTAAATACCAGACCTAATACACTTCGCCGTGACCAAAGGCATAAGCAGATATATTATCTCAACAAACACAAGCTGCGATTTGTCTTCTGATCATTCTCCATTTACATTTTGCTTATTTGATGGTCCTTAGTTATATGACTGTTGCTATAGCCTTACAAGCCCTTAAATAAACTGTCTCAAATATGAAAAGCATACATACAAATTGCAAAATAAAGTGTAAGTCTCATACTGAGGACCTCACTTTTAAACTTAATTCTGATTTCAGCAACAGAAAACTCCAACCCTAAAGACAATAAAATTCACCCATCCAATAAAGTACTTACAAAAAGTGACATAGAAAACTTAGTTTTAGAAAAACGTAGATTAAGTTGTAAATGGCAAAAATCTTGGTTCCCTTCAGCGAAAAAGTTACTCAAGGAAGCCCAAAGGAGACTTAGATCTGCATTAAGCAAGGAAACCAGACAATATAATTATATTCAAAACCTATGTCCAAATGGCAAAAAACACTCATCCCTAGGGAATGCTAGTAGAGGTAACATATGAATTCCTCCATAGAATCCGATTCTCCAATAAATAACTCTTTCGGAAACTGGGCGCGAAGCGATGAAGAAAAATTGAAAGTTTTTGCTGATTACCTAAAAGAGGTGTTCCAATCAAATCTTGCAACAGGACATTATGACTTTTGCACTCAGCATCTACATGCACCATCTATTGACATGAATATCAGGGCCAATGACCTTGTTCAAATACTCACAAATAAATTGGATTGCAAAAAAGCACCGAGATATTATAACATCTCACCCATCATGATAAAAAAACTTACCATAAAAAATGGCCATAAATTTTATTACAAGATGTTTTAATACCATTATTAAATTTGGCTTCTATCCAACAGGGTGGAAAACATCCATGATTATTGTGATTCATAAATCAGGTAGGGAAAAATATGGAACTAATGGAGCTCAGAAATTATTGTTTCGCGGTATTTCTTGATGTTAAACAAGCATTTGACAAAGTATGGCATAACGGGCTCATAACATATATAAGATTCGCTGTTTATTAACTGCAAATGTCCAAACACTTTTAAAATCAAATCTGCATAATAAAAGCTTTAAAGTCAAATGTAAATTATATACTTCTAATAATTTCCCAATAGATGCTGGCGTTCCACAAGGAAGTGTTCTTGGCCTTATCTTGTATGTACTTTACACATCTGAAATCCCAATAAGCAATTTAGTTGTCATCACAACGTTTGCCGATGATACAGTAATTTTTGCCGAAACAAAAACGCTGTGCTAGCTTAAAACCAACTTCAAGCTCACTTATTTTGGGTGGAGAAATGGTTGTCAAAATGGCGAATTAAAATTAACGAAGTAAAATGTAGACACGTCATTTTTACCTTAATTCGGAGTGAATCTTCAACAATTAATAAATAACATTCCTACACCACAAGCATATAATATAACGTACTTAGGTAATCACCAAGACAGATGACTAACTTGGCGCAAGCATATTATAGCCAAAAATATTCAGAAAGCTCCAAGCCTCATTAATAACAGATCTTCCCAGTGCCTAAAGTATGTATAAAGTACTCCTGTATAACAGCATCATAAAGCGAATACTGAATTAATGGATCCAGCTATTTGGTAATGCTGGTGCTTCAAATATTGAAATTATCCAAAGAGCTCAGTCTAAAAATACTAACAACAATCACTGGTGCTCCATGGTATATTAGAAATAAAAATATCTACCGAGATGTACAAATTCCATTAGTTAAAGCTAAATTTGACAATGTAAGAAAAAATATTATAAAAGACTGACAGAATATGTTAACCCCTTAGCAAGGAATCTCACACTTCTATCCATTACTTCCCTCCTAAAAAGAGCTGACCATCGAGCTATTAATTAATATTTAATAGCTTGAATTAAAAACCGCACCTTTCTTTTAAGTAATCTGATAAAGTTAATATGCTTTTTTAATAAACCACTTAACATTCATACTAATGTAATTTAATCCATTGATTTAAGTGAGGTCCGTGATACAAGGTTTACTTATTTTATTGTATATTATACAACGTATAGTTAAAATAAAAAATTGTAATATTATGTATTTACTGATAATATTTTAAAACTTATTGTTAGTCTCATTGCAAGAGAAGATGCAATAAATAAATATATAAGAATTTAAAAAAATAAAAAAAATTTTCTCAGCAAAGTTACATTTAATTTGCGTAATGAAAACTTTCCTTATTGAAAACCTAAAACAAGATTTGAAAGTGACGTAGACATCACTGTCCAAAGAAGGCAGAAAATAATTGAAGACAAAAATCGCCGTGGACGACTATTAGCATAAATAGAAGAACAATACAAGCAGGAAACAAAGATTCGCACTAAAAACGTTCAATCATTAAACTAACGTTAACAAATTTCTTCGCTTTACGTAGTATGAAGCATTTTGAATTGGTGCTGTCGGAAAAACTGTAAACAAGCAATATTATTTGAGCATAACGATCTTCATATATTCTTCATAGTTATAAACAATTTTACCATGTTTTTTTAATCTCAGTATTATATATATATATTTTTTCAATTATTTTTGACCTGACTGCAAATTGTTGTAGAAATCTTACCATTGCTGTCACTGGTTCTACACCTTCTCCATTGAATTTATTTGCTTTAAATACAGTTTGTTTATCCCAATCAGTCCAATAAATATTATCTTCGAATGTGGTAATAGAGAACGGATGACGCAGATATTCTGTTGAATACAATACTTGTCGGCGTTTGGAACCATCATAGTTTGCAGATGATATCTCGTTTAATTTACCATCAACCCAGTAAATGCGTTTACGTACCAAATCTAATGTAATTCCATTCGGCCATTTAACATCGTAGATAATAATGGGGATGCGATGTGACCCATCCATACCAGCACGTTCGATACGAGGTGAAGATCCCCAATCTGACCAGTACATCCATCTTCAAAATAAATTAAAACAATTAAACCAAAAAATTATATAAATATAACAAAAATAATAAGGAAAAATATATGGCTATTCATACATAAAATTATGTTACACTTTTATTGGAATGCGTGCCACACATTCGTAGCTTATCACTTATACACACAGCAGAAAAAGTTTACGGATATCCACAATATTATTTTTAAATTTTGCATACTTTATTTAATTTTTATTATTTTATTAAAATTATTTTATTTAATTAATTTTTGTTTTCTGATTTATTTTAACCAAAAAACCAACAATAAAGTTCAGACAAAAAAGTTAAGTTGTTCTTTATAAAAAGAACACAATTATATGCAAAATCAACACTTTTTGCAGCAGACACGTTTATATTCACTTTTTAATATTTAGATTTACCGGTTATTTAAATTCGCTTGCAAATATAATTATGCAATTAAATGACATTTAATTATGAGTTGATTTCCTAAAGAGTATAAGAATTGATCATTTAAAAATATTTTTGGGTACAAACAGTAAATTTTTACTATGGGAAATAAAGTTGTGAATTAGTGTTAGTTTACGACAAATAACTGTTAAGGTTTGGAAAGATGATGTGAGCCAAAGACAAATTGCTGAAGTTATTGGTCGTTACAGAGTTATAAATAACTTCAAGGAGATGGGTAATTACGTTACTAAACTTCGCACTGGCCGCACTTCAAAGTGAATCCAAGAGTAACAGCCTTTAAACTAGCTTTAAGTATTATACCCGGGTTGCAAGAAAGAAGCCATACATATCCAGATATAATAGAATAAACTGATTAAGCTTTGCAAGAGAGCATGTAAATAAACCTATAGAGTTCTGGAAAAAAGTTATTTTCTGCAATGAGATTAAATTCTGCATATTTGGAATCAAAATTAGAAAATTTGTGTGGAGAAAATCATGTACAGCCTATGATAAACAAAAATTGATTTCAACGGTAAAACATGGTGGTGTAGGCGTACTAGGTTGGTGGGTGTATGGAAAGTAATGGTGCTGGTAAACTTGAATTTATACAAAATATCATTGGACAAATATGGGTATTTAAATATATGGTACTTAAAATAAATTTGAAACAAAATACCAAAATGTTAGGGCTTGAGGCAAACCTTTTGTTTCAGCACGACAACTACTCTAAGCATACAGCAACGATTGTACGAATTTTGCTACTGTACCATGCTACCAGGCAACTTCAATCTCTACTACAAACACCAGACTTTAATCCTGTAAAGTCTGTGCGAATATTTGGAATATAAGATTCGCTAGCACAAGATTTCCAGCAAGGATATGTAAAAAAACGTCATCAAGAAAGAATAGCACAAAAAAAAAACAAAGGATGCTGCAAAGTTGGCCAGGGGCTAATAAAATTAAGCTTTCTGTGATTTTTAATTGTTTTGATCTAAATATTAAGAAGTGAACGCAGACTTTTTTGCTGCAAAAATTGTTCCTTTTAAAAATATAATTGTGTTTAATTTTTTTTTTTAAATATAATGTTAATTTTTTATGTTTAACCTTCATTGTTGTTTTTGTTGTTAAAATAAATCAGAAAACAAAAATTAATTTAAGTAAAAATTAAGTAAAGTATGGGATAGGATTGCATTTATGTTTATTGTTTTTAGTGACATTAACAGAAATGCTTAGTGTTTCTTTATATTTATTACGAACATTTTTTTATATTTTTTTTTTATAAATTACTTTGAAATGCTGACATACCCTTCAATTGGATCTAAGGCTATGGAACGTGGTATGTCCAACTCATCTTCAATGAGAACTTTACCAAGGTTGCCTTCAAAGTTTGTTAGCTCAATGGTGCATTTGTGTGTGTCAGTAAAATAAATGTGATTGTAGATCCAATCAACTGCCAGACCATCTGATGTCACAGTGTGATCCTTCAGAACAACAGTTTTGTCGTTGCCTTCATCAATGGGTGCTCTATAAATAAAATATAAAACAATGATATTAAATTGCACATGTGTGTACATGTGTGTTTATACTAATGTATTTTGTACTTTCTTAGTACGAAATAAATAAAAAGGATCTAATATATTTTATCAACAAGTTAATAACATTTTGTAGTTATTAAATTGCTAAATTAAAATTATAGCTTTTGTGAAGTTTTTTAATGCATTACTTACGATATCAGAAGTGTGACGTATTTTTATTTGCTTTTATTTCATTTTGACTATATTTATGCAATTGTGTTTTTTAACTTAAACTTTTGGCTTACTTAGTGTATTTAGTATGTCAGCAATATTAACTTGACTAAAATAAATGTAAATACATACATAAACTGCCAAATAAACTAAATAATAATGTATTATACCAATTAATAGTTAGGGAGTCTATTAGAAAACTAATATAAGCAGTGAAATTAAAGAACTAAATTAAATTACAAGAGAATCATCTCTGAATAAAGGGTTCAATTACTATGTAGCACAAAAAACAAAATAAAATATATATTTCAACTTATAGCCTTATAACTAAGTTATTAAAATAATCAAGCATATATGTATACTTTTGACCCTTTATTGGTGATTATGGTGATTCATAGTAGGATGAAAACATTAAGGGACACATATGTGAACTGAAATTAATTTAAATAATTGGCACACAATTCAAACTTGCTTAATTATTTAATCAATTATTAAGACAAAACTACTTTGTACGTAATTATCATATGCAAATTTTTGACTAGGAACTATACGAGTATTCATACATGAAACCAACAAAAACTTTAGAAGATAGTATTAGAGTATATAAGAATGACAAATGAAAGAAGAGATATATGTAACGTGGTTGTTACATGTCTGTCGTGAAACTACAGACATGATAGAAATCAATTTAAAAAAAGTTTTGTTTAAGTTTCTATTTAGTTTATGTTTCTAATAAGCATATTCCCACGATCGAAGTTTGATGTAGTGCATAGCGTAAATTAAGTGTATCATATTATCAGCAGTTACTTCATGACAGTGTCATAACTACATTTTTTAGGCCCATAAGCGAATTCAAACTAAGGGGCTCCTACTAATATCTTTTTATACCCTTTACACGAAAAAGTGTAAAAAGGGTATATTAGGTGTGTCAAGATTTTCGTAACGTCTGTTTGAAGTCTGTTTCAGTATTTGAACAATGTGTCAATTTATTCTCTGTATCATGATTAGCAAAGGCATCATTTAAATCATTTACTTCTTCACTTTTGTTTTCATTTATTTTTAGAAAATTGTCTAGTTTTGGTCATTTCTTTAATGTTTCTTCTCGTTCGTTTTGCTCTTTTCTTTTCTTGGCTCCACTTAAATGTCAACACAAAGAAATTTTAAAAATTTTCTTGAAATTACAAATGCAACCTTGTTCAAAAACCAAAATTTATGTTATTCCAACAAAAAATGTTTCGTCCCACTTTTGAGAATTTATTAAAAATAAATATAATGAAAACATAAATTTATAATGGGGCCCCCTAAGTTCGGGGACCCGAAAGCGAAACTTCCAGTCGCTTCCCTGTAGTTACGCCACTGCCTCATGATGAATTAGATGCATGTTATTTTATATCACAAAATACACATTTATTTACTACAAGTGAACTAGAAAACTTATAAAATTTATACTGACACTTTTATACAAAGAGTCATCTCCGAGTCGACTTCATATTATGCAACACTTGCATCTACACATAGTAGAAAAAGTCTACGGATATTCACAAAATTTTTTTAAATTACGCATAACTTTTTTAATTTTTACTCAAATTCATTTTTATTTACTAATTTATTTTAACCAAAGAAACAACAATAAAGTTCCAATATAAAAAATTAACAGTTATTCTTTAAAAAAAAATTAAATACAATTATATGCAAAAGCAGCAATTTTTGAAGCAGAAAAAGTCTACCTAATAGTAGTACCGCAGTACCTAATAAATGAAAAAACATTATTTTTTGAAAAATGGTCAAATCTGGCATCCGAGTTAAATATAACTAATGATTTGAGTATTAATGAAAACTGGAAAATGTGGCAAAAAAATATAATAACGAAACTAAGTATTGAAGAACGTAGAAATTTTGTAGAAACGGCAAGAAACAGTATATCGAGAGATGCATATAGTAAGTTGAATTATGATCTAGGTGTCAATAATTACTTTCACGAGCAATATGACCTAGAAACAATAAGGACAATCTTCAAAACCCGCGGCGAGCTCCTACGATTGTGCTACGTACCGCATGAAAGTCTAGACACGCTGTGCACGATATGCAACCTTAAATTGGCGATGTTATACACTTAGTAGGTGAATCCCCAATTTTTAAAGAACATAGATTGCTGTACTTCGGTAAACCCGCGCTCGATGTCAATGAAACCATACGGTTACTGAATGGCCCCAACTGGAGATTGTTAACGGCGTTTATTAAAACTACATTTAAATATAGGCAAAATATTATTAATGAAGACTTTTAAATTAACTTATATAAAATCTATTATTTTTGTTACAGTAATTTAATTTAATTTTTATGTTGTATTGAGCTCATAAGCAAGAATACCTATTTAATATTTATAAAAATTGGATTAATTAGTTATTAGTTAATTAGTTATTAGATTAATCTAAACTTCCGGCAGACGGCTAAAATGCCATAGCTGTAAGCTTTATGTATATTTATTATAATTATATGTATTATAATTATTATATAACTTCGATGTAATATAATAACTTTAAAATGAAGTAAAAATAAAGCTACTACTACTACTAGTAGGTCTAATAAACTAAATAAACTAATATAAAGTTTTATATTAGATATATCAATAATTAAGTTCATTGTTAATTACGATTTGTATAACTGTCTAAATTAAATTATTATTTGTGTAACTATGTAAATCAAATTATTATTTTTGTATGTTTTTTTTTTGGTTTATTTGAGTTATAGTACATTCATAATAATATTGCTGGTTGTCATAAAAAAATATTCGCACATGATTAGTGTGCCAGATGTAATATGATCATCTTAACACGCCACTGTGTGAAATTGATAAGCATGAGTTTTCCTTTATCGGTCGTTCTCGGTGAGTTGCAGCAATAAGTTTGCCACTGCGATAATTCTGTTGTTCCCACAAGGGCAATATGAGTTGGCATATGGCATAAGTGATAACAGATTTAAGTCACCAAATTTGTAAGCCAAGTTGGTATATGACAAAACACATATACCAGCTTGCTAAGCTAACAACATTAAGCAGACCTACTGTAAGATTAGGTGGAATTCTGCATGGAATTCCCATGAGTACCTTTGGCGTTGAGTGTTGAAGTTCCATTAGACAGCAAATCGTAGGAATTATGTACATTTCCTATGTTAGCATAAGCGTAGTGTTAATACCATATTTTTGTATTAAAGCATAACATTTTTTAATAAAAATTTAATCCAAAATTTGAATTCATCCATATGTTTTCTTTGGTTAAAGCGCCTAAGAAACATTGAACAAATCGGTTTATGTGCCGAGTTTATAAGCAAATAAAATCAATTATAAAAATAAATACAAGTAACTGGTTAATGTGCTAGTTTACTTGAGTGAAGCTAAATTGGTTAAAGTGCCGAATTAGCAAATTTATTTCAGACTAGGTACAAATTGTAACAAATTTGTGACGCTAAGTTGGTTTACGAGTCGAAGTAGCAAAATCCGTATTAGACAAGGTACGGATCATAATAACCCTAATAATTGGTTGCGATGCTAACGCGCACAATACAATATGAGGCAGCACAGATGCAAACACAAAAGGTGAGATACTCATGGAATTTTTACTACAAACTAATATAGCTATTGCAAACAGAGGAAATAAACCAATCTTTGAGAATGCAATACGGCAGGAGGTTCTTGACTTGACACTCATAACCAATAACCCACTTGATTTGATTACAATCTGGAGAGTCTCTGATAAGGACTCTATGTCTTATCATAAGTACATACTCTTTAAATTAAGCGGGTTATGTAAGAGCGTAATGTCCTATAGAAGCCGTAAAAGAACCAACTGGAAGAAATATCCAGACTATCTAGAATCTAAACTAACCAGAAGCATGCTTTTTTTAAAATCGATAGAGAAACTGAACACATCAGTTAAAATTTTGACCGACTCCATAAATGTCGGTGGATTTACACGAATGTAGTCCACTCAAAACAAAACCCTCAACGAAGAGGGTTCCCTTATGGAATAGGGAACTTGCCAAGTTACGTAATATAGCAAGATCCAAATTCAGCGATGCAAAGAAACATTATACAGAGAACGAATATAGGAAATCCCTAACATTATAAAACAAGTAACTAAGGAAATCAGAAAGGAATTTTTCGAAAAACTTCTGTGAGGAACTTAAAGATATCCCAAATACTGCAAGAATACAAAAATCACAATCCAAGGGGGTTACTAATCCAATACACTAAAGTACACTAAAGACAACGCACGGAACCTTCACAAATTCCTTTGTTGACACACTTTAGCTACTTCTTGTAGAAATAAAAAAGAAGAATTAATAAAAACTTTTCAAAATCAAACGCAAATTATATAGTAACAATTGCAAAACATATACGAGTAAGGGCCATGTTATGCAGAGTGTCTCGGGCACGACAAATTTCGCTCCTTCGGGCTATGCCGAAAATGCATGTTATGCAGAGTGTCACATCAGTATTGCCAATTTCGTATTTTTACAATGTTTTGATACTTTTTGGTTGTGCCTAAATTTAAAAGGAAATTTAGATAGGCTCACTTTCAATTTGCCACCAAAAATAACTAGCAAGAAAAAACTCATAGAGGCTGTAATAATGTTAATTTATTATGACATTATCTTATAATAATTGTTACCAGTACTTAACAGAATTTACGCCTTTCTTTAAAACTTGAAAGTGTAATAATTATACTATTGGCGAATTATAAAAAAGGGCTGTGTTGCTTACTGCTATTTTTTCTCCAAAGCGTATTAGAATTGTACTAATTTGCTCCTAAACGGCGCAAATTTTGAAATTTATTTCTAAACAACACTGTTTTGTCTTAGTGCTGGGGCACAAATACGCCTGCTCTCATGCCTGAGTTTGAACGGCCATATTGTATTTATTCTCATTCTCAAATTTAAAATTTACATTGAAAACAACAACAATTGTACTCATGCCGTGCCCGAGACACTCTGCATAACATGGCCCTAATAGATTCACAATATATTTACAGTTTTACATTTAATTTACATTTAATTATTTAAAATTTTAAATTTATTAATAAATAAAAATGTGTTTTAAGTTTTTAAAGACACTTAAAATTTACACTGTGGCAACGCCACATTTACAATTTTTACTTTCGTTAAGAAAAGCAGAATGGTGTGAATTTTTGCATTGGCGTTTACACTGCAAGCATTTTTGACCTGTTTAAACATTTACATTAAGCGTGATATCGGTAAAAGAATCGCGTCTTGCAGGTGCATCCAGTGTTGGTGCTCTATCATTCAGGAAAAATTTCAATGTGGCAAAAGTGGGAATGGCAGTGGGAATGGTTTTTTTAGACAGTTTCGTTGAGATGTAATAGGCTAACAAATGATTACTGTCGTTCAGTCTGGCAAATTCGTGCACGCATACCTTAGCAGTATTCAAAAGTAATTTTATTTAATCTTTCGTTCCTGTAATTGGCTTGAAATGCTAAACAAATCTTCCATAATATGCATGAATAAAATCCGAGAATTATTATATCGCTTCACAACTATTTCCCATGCAACAGGATAATTACCTTCTGTCAAATGACATTTTATAAGTTTCTTAATTATTATCCTGCTCTGACTAATCCCTCTATTAGTTTTAATCAACCGTTCTTCCTGGAAACAGGAAAAAGAGATAGTTTTATATGTGCTACTAGTTATTGTATTTGGGCTGGTTGTGGTAGTTCTTTTACGGCTAATAGTGCGTTGCCTTGCATCGTCATCAAATTGCTTCCCTTATGTTCTGCGCTTTGTATTTCACTTCGTTCCTTTTGTTTGTTGCTCATTTTGTAAATATTATTGAATGCAAATATCCTTCAAATTTTAATTTGTTTTTGTTACATCTATCGTAGTTGACGTTGGCTAATAAAATGTCAAATATAATATTAAATGTAAAACATATAATATTAAATAAATAGTTGAGTATGTGAATGAAAGGTGAAGTAATAATTGGGTTAACCAATTATTTATTATTGTTTTAGACATCAAAACTAAACGATTCCTTTATTTGTGAACTTTGCATTTTTTTGAACATAAAATTTTACACAGTGTTTTTCCCCATCATCCCAATATTAAAACGATATATTCTATTTAAATTCATATTCACGCCTAAGTGTTCACTTAATTAAAAAACATAACTCTATACACATAGCAGAAATCATCTACGCATATCCTCAACATTTTTTTTAAATTTCGCATAACTTGTTTATTTTTGCTGAAATTAACTTTTGTTTTCTGATTTATTTCAACCAAAGAAACAACAATAAAGTTCTAATATAAAAAATTAGCAGTTATACTTTAAAAAATAATTAAACACAATTATATGCAAAAGCAACAATTTGTGAAGCAGCAAAAGTCTACGGATATTTCTTAATATTAACATTAAAACAATTAAAATTCACAGAAATCTACGAGAAAACCTCAGCATTTAATAACTTACTTTAAGTGTCTTTGCATGGACTCAACCAGTTTTGCAGTATTATCCTGTGCGTTTATTTTATGTTACTCTTCCTTAACATATTCTTGCCGGAAGTCGTGTGCTGGCAAATCTTATTTTTCAAATACTCAAAATTAACTCTTATCGGACAAAATAACTCAATTTTAAAACTCCATAGCTTTATTTTTTTTTTATTTTTAGCTACTCTTTCTTGATGACGTTTCTTAACATATCCTTGCCGGAAATCGTGTGCTAGCAAATCTTGTTTTCCAAATATGCAAAATTAACTCTCATCGGACAAAATAACTCAATTTTAGAACTCCGTAGCTTTATTGACATGCTTTTTTGCAAAGCTTAATCAGTTTATTCTATTATATCTGAATATGTATGCCTTCTTTCTTGCAATCTGGGTATATAACATGCATTGCATCAAAATATTCCGCACAGTATCAGGACATATTTTGTTTTCAAGTATTTCGGCAATATGTTCAGCTAGTTTAAAGGCTGTTACTCTTGGATTTACTTTCACCTGGTTGATGAATTCTCTATTTGATAGAATTTGACCAGTGCGAGGTTTAGAAATATAAGTATTTGTCTCCTTGAAGTTATCTATAACTCTCTGCATAGATGAATATTGACGACCAATATTTTCAGCAATTTAACGTTGGTTTACGTCATCTTTTTAAAAACAAACAGTTATTTATCGGTCACTAACACTACTGTTTATATTCAAAAATATTTTGAAATGATCAATTCTTAAATTCTTTAGGAAATTAACTGATAATTAATTATCATTTAATTACACAATTATACTTGCAAGCGAACTTAAATGAATGCTAAATCTAAATATTAAGAAGTGAACGCAGATTTTTTTTTTTAAAGAACAACTTAACTTTTTTGTCTGAACTTTATTGTTGGTTTTTTGGTTAAAATAAATCAGAAAACAAAAATTAATTTCAGTAAAAATTAAATAAAATTTGGAAAATTTAAGAACAATATTGTGGATATCCGTAGACTTTTTCTGCTATGTGTATATCTTTGATAAGTATGGTATGTTTATAGTAAAAAATGGAGTTATTGAGTCTTTCCATATTTAAAACTGTACATAAAATATTCACTTTATAAAAACAAATACTAAGTATTTTTTATCTGTTTTATTGTCAACATATGAGAATTAATCTTTTATTCGTCCCGTTTATGACCACTTTTGAACAATATAAGTTTTATTTACATCAGGTATAAATACGTCACAACGCATACAATTCATACTTACAACCAAATAGAAAATTTGTAGGACCTGCATTAAAGAAATCAACTCACAGACTACTCACTTGTAAATGCTTTGTGTAGAGACATCACTCCAAAATATCATGCCAGTACGGAAAACGAAATCCAACGCCGTTGCTGATTTTGTGTTGTTTACAATCGATGTCATTTCCATATGATCTAAAGCGATTTTCCTGACATCATGTCGGCGAGCAAGCAACAATGAAGCATGTCCTTCGGTCGCTTTGCATCGTATATGGTTGTGAGGGTCACGCATATATCCCGCCTCGCATTCGCACTTATAACCGCCATATTCGTTAATGCAAATCTGCGAACAAGCTCCAGAATTTTCACATTCATTGATATCTACGCAGTCTTTATTATTCACTAATTTAAAGCTGAAAGTACACAAAACCACAGGCTTGCATTAATACAACTATCTGCACATGTGTTTGATAAGCGAATATGCAGGGTCTGATTTAGTAACTGAAATGTACATACATATGTATATTTGGTTTGTAATTTTTTTTCTCTATTTATATATTTTTTATGTAAATTGTAAAAAACCGATTTTAATAAAAAATCATTTAAAGCTAACTAGAAATTTAAATTTTATTGTTTTTATTTGCTAAAATTGTTTCATTGTACGTAATGAACTTCATATAATATTTAGGAACACGAAATGGCATTAAAATTAAAAATATATTATATCCATAAATGAAATAAATAAATTTAGTATCTAAAAAATTTATAGTCGTAATTAATTTCAAAAATACAAAGATTTTATTTAGTTTACTTAAAATAGTGATCCATGCAATTCGACAAATCTTTTTTGTTACTATTTCGAAATCATTTTAATAAAGCTTAAATTGCAATTATATTTTAATGTACATTTTTATATAGAGCATTAACCCCTCCATCATGGACAAGAGAATGATCAAGCACTACATTAAAAAAATCAAGACATCGGCAGTATGCCCTATATATTGTTTATTAATTCGAGTCTTTGTTTATTAGGCATAGGTATTAGGCAATACCTATGTAAAAACTACCCGGCAGCTGCGGTGCTTGGTTTTATTTTGAGAAGCGAATTTCTAAGATATACATTAGCATGTCCAGCTCTTTTTTTTGTGGAAAAAAATCATACCAGAAAGTTCGCTTTAAATCATGTGGTGAAAACGAATTTAAGCAACCCATTTATTATGTTAAGGAGGACCTTTGGTGATGATATTGTTCGGGATTGAAATTATAAAAGAATAAAGAAGAAAAGTGTTATAAATAAAGATAACAAAAGATTAAATAAGTTGATTCTGGTAATACTCTTGTTCTCTCATGTTTTTCCATCGGCAATGTTTTTCTTAATAGTAGTTTTAAAAGATCTGACGAATCGCTCGGCTAACTCGTTTGAGGCTAGATGAAACGGCGCTGTTGTTATATGTTTGATGCCAAGTTTTGAGCAAAAATGTTTGAATGCTTTAACTGTTAATTGCGGACCATTGTCACTTAAGATGATTTCTGGTATACCTTCCAGGAAAAATATAGAAGACAAAGCTGATATGATATCAACCCTTGTTGTTGTAGATAGTTGTACGATGAACGGCAATTGCGAAAAACGTTGATATATATCAGCCACATGAATTATAAAATGAGCTAGCAAAGTCGATATGTACTTTCTCCCAAGGACCATCAGCTTCAGGCCAGTTTACGTATTCACGTGTGTGAACAGGATTTGCCATTTTGCACACATCAGAATTTTCAATTATTTGTGTGATGTCTTTGTCAATATTAGTTAACCGGACATGTTGTCGACCTAGCTGTTTAATTTTCGATACTCCCCAATGACCATCATGAAGAAGTTTAAGAACTTTCTGCTTAAGGGAGGCTGGAATAACAACGCGGTTGTTGTTCGTCTGGAAGCAAAGCAAACTGTTTAGCATTAAAGCAAAGCGATGATTGAAAAATGATCGAAGATCAGCATCCTGTGGCATTAGTTTTTCGGGCCAATCGTTTGTAACGAGAAAATAAACTCGGCGAAGGATTGGGTCATTTTTGGCATGTTGATGAATAATTTCAGCCTCGATAGATGTGTTAAGTTAATTAATGTTGAAACAGGATTCTTCGTGATTAAAAGTTTTATCATCACCAACGGGTAAACGAGATAAAGCACCGGCATTTCCATGGTCAGTGGTTTTACGATACCGTACAGCAACTGATAAGCCATTAATATAATAGCCCATCACTGCAGACGATGTGACGTCATCGACGGTAACTGATGAGTTGGATTAAAAAGGCTAACAAGTGGTTTGAGGACAGTAACCAAGGTAAATTTTCTTCCGTATAAAGGAAGATAGCTAGCCCTTCTTTCTCCATCTAACTAAACCGTTACTGATGAATATCGAGAGTTTTAGATGCAAAAGCAATAAGCCTTTCTGAACCGTCAACGTACGTATGCGAGAGCACGACTTCTATGCAATAGGAGGAGGCATCTGTAGCTAGAACCAACGGCAGCTGTTCCTGATAATGTGCTAGTTGCGCTGCATTGAGAATATGCGTCTTAAGAGCTATAAATGCTTGTTGTTATGCTGAACTCAGTGTGAATTTTACATTTTTCTGGCCCAGGTATAAAATTATGGTAGTAGTTCACCTTACCCATGAATCACAAATCATATCATCTACAAAATTGTGCAAACAATTCTGGGCTGACCACGGAAAGTTACACACTCTTGCTAATCCGCGGAGGTCGGCTAGCCAACCCACTCTCTGTACGATTGATGCGGCTTCATTTCCCTTTGGAAGAATTGTCATGTGCGGCGACTGCAAGTCGTTTCGACTGGAAATGATCCGTTAGCTTTTCCATTAAACTTTTGAACGATTGTACTTGTAATTTCGTGTTACCTAAAAGATTTTTTAGCAGCTCAAAATTTTCTGTGCCAATCCACGACAAGAAAAATGATTTTTGTTTTTCACTGCATTGAACTGAATATGCTAATAAATGTTGGTTAAGTTGCTCTAAGTACGATTCCCACGTTTGATGCTCTTTCGAAAATTTGTGAAATACTGGAACAATGTTTTGATTTCTTTCAGATACACCGGCTTGGTTTAGAAAAATTGACTCCATCCACTCACGTTGTTGTTTCAGCAAATTTTTCGAGAACTCTTGCTTTTCTTTAAGCATTTGCTTAAAAATTTTACGGCATGATTGTTTATTAAATATCGAACGGCACGAAACAAGCGTTAAAGCGATTGAAAATTTGCAGTTTTTTATCCTTGTCGCCAACTGACACGATTGGCAGTTTATGTTTGACTAAATTTTGTTCACATTTCATTATCTAGGATTACTTGAAGTAATATAAAACATACTAGATTATAACAGCTTCAATTAACATTAACGTGTAATTATGCAAAATGTTGTTTTGATTGTAATTGTGTATGTTACGCACTTATTTATGCACTTTTTTTTAAATATTTATGCATTTTTCATGTGCGGAAAATAATTTAGAAGGGTTTTAAATACTATGTTGAAAGCAATAAAAATCTATTTTAGCTTGAAATTGAAAAAATTGTTGTTATTATATAACGAAATTTAAACTTATATGACATTAATATATATAACTTATATACTATTGCATGCAGCATAAAATTCATATATCTATGCAAAAAAATATTATACTGAAAAAGAGAAACCATTAATTTTTATAATAGTAATTTAGTGTTAGACATATTAAAAGTGTTATAACAATTAATTTTACTTATTTTCAAATATAAATAACTGAGTATAGAGCCTTATTAACTTCAAGAAATATAACATTCAATAATTTATTGAATATATATTGTTTTACGTTGGAAATTGTAATTATTTATTTTAAAATTAAATAAATTTTTAAACAATCGCAAAAAATAATAGGGATATTCACTCTCTCTTGCAAACTCATTGCAAGGTGCACGATATGCACAGATTGTACGAGAATGCAAATAACAACAACAAAATACACGCACAAAATTTCGTGCAATTGTGTGCAATTTTCCAATACTAAAACCTATGTATATTTGCTTGCAACAAAACAGAAATGGCAGAAATCAGCTGTTTTGACATTTGTTGCTTCTCATTTTTAAATTTGAATTGACGGTTAGTAAAATTTCGAGATATGTTAATCTATGGCTATGCTATATACATGCGTTTCGTTCAATGATTTAAAACGATGTTGCCATTAATTAAGTTTTCACAAATATAATATTATATACATATACATTTGTGAATTAATTTATCTATTTATCAATTGCAGCGAAACTTACGAAAATTTGTCCACATTTTGAACTATTGAATGAAGTGTTTGGACGCATGTCTAATTTTCAGCCGCTTGTGATTTGTACGGACACATTGCCACGGCCACCAGCTAGTTCTGCGCTAGGCGACGAAGTTTATTTTATTTAATCGTCTGCAGACAACACATCATCCAGCTCTGCACCGAAAGTCGTGCGTTCTGCTGTGCAAAGCCCCACTACCCCTCTCGCATCCCCTAAAATTGCTAAAAAGGGTTCAAATTCTGCCATAAGCTAGCTAGTTGCAGTACAAAGAGAAAAACTCGTATTTGAGGAAAAAAAGTTGGATTTTGAGAAAATCAAACACGAGACATATAGCAAAATTGAGGAGCGAAAAATTGCTATTGAAGAAAAAAAAATTGAAATGGAAGATAAGTGGAGGGATAGGGACATGGAATTGAAGTGATTGGAACTTGAAATAAAGGAAAGAATTGCTAAATATGAAATCGATAAAAAATATAACAAATAACAATAATAAATTAAGAATTAATTATATTTTTATTATACTAATTATTTTTATATTATGTTATTATTACATATATTAATATATATATGTTTTTATACATTATTCTTGTTTTGAAATAAATCTACTGGAAAAAAGTAATGTCGCAATTGACTTCTTAATTATATATTAAATATATATACATATATGTGTCACCCTATTCATTAATTGTCAATTCTTAACAATGTGTTTAACAACGTTGTTATGTTTTGAGAAGTTAGTTAATTCGCAAGCGTCTTCGTAGTCAGTGCGTACTGTAAATATTATATTGAAATAATAATTTAATGAACATTTTACTGTAAATATTATATTGAAATAATAATTTAATGACATATGTATGTTTTATATATTTGTATTCGTAAATTATTGATTGCCGAACATCAAATTATACAAAAATTTGCGCTTCGAAGCTCTTTCATTGGTTCTCTGACTACCTTCATTCTGCATAAGCTCATCAGATTCTTCGTCGTTGTCATGTACGTAATCCACGTGTTCCGTATCATCACATGAAGGTCGCAAAATGTTGTGTAATATGCAACAAAGAAGGAACCAATTTGAACAAAAATTATGACTCGT